CAGTCCCCGCCCCGAGGGACGGGTTGTTACGGCACCACCAGGTTGGAAAGGGACCCGTTGTGAAGTTAGACCCCACCCCATCGGCGGGAAGGGAAGTGTCTGCCACAAAAACCGGGCCAGCGCAGCCTCGTGTGAGCCAAGCCGCGTCACGGCCTCTGTGTGGCCCCTGCTGTGGACACGCCCACGCGGGTGGCTGCAGGAGAGGGCGCTGCGAAGTCACTGCCCAGCAGAGGGTCCAAATTGCCTGAAAGGACTGTGGAAGAGTCACCTTCGCTACCTCCGAGCCCCAATTCCTGATGTCCTCACAAGTCACGGGAACAGACAGGCCGCCAGCCTGGAAGAGGAGGCTGGGGTCAGTTTTCTAAGAGCCTCGAATCCAGAACAGTCATTAGACTCTGCCGGGCAGGAAGCAGGAACCAGCGCGAGGGGCAGAGGCGGCGCAGGCACAGGAGGAAGAGGGAGGCCGGGCCAGGCTGTGCCTTGGCCCTGGGAAAGGGCAGTGCCCAGCACTGAGCCTGGGGCCAGGCAGTGGGCAGGCGGCCTCCCCACCCCGGGTGCTGTTTCCAGTTGAGGAAGCAGCTGAGGCAGAGGAAGAGACACAGGTTTCTGCCGGTTTGAGGAGGCGAGACCTGTGGGCTGGGAGGCAGAGAGGAGGGGTGTCAGCTTGTCTCTCTTCCCCAGGGACCTCTGCGGGCCGGTGGCCTCCTCTCCAGCTTCCTCCCCACCCAGCAATCCACCTGGACACTTCCCCTCCCTGCTGCCTCCTGAGGTCGTGTGTGACGTCCTTGGGGTGGACATAAGTGGACAGGATGCTAGGCCTTGTTTTCGCTCCTCTCCACCTCTGACCCTCGTGCTGAGGCAGCTTAGCAAGGTTACAGGATGTGAGGCAACACGCGACAATCGATGGCATGTCTGTCCACCAACAACAGGCACGCAGAAACACAGACGTGCGACCCTGCACATGCGATACCGTCGTGTGGCGCGAAGTACACGCACACCAGTGAGCACAGGTGAAGCTTGCGAGAAGCAGAGACAGGCCCATGGGCTGCGCCAGCGTTGGTGTCGTGGCTGTGAGTCCTCCACAGGTGCTTGGCAGGATGTTATCACGGGGCGAATGGGCAAGCCGCACAAGGAATCTATTATTTCTCACAACTGCATTTGAATCTATATCTCAAAATCAGAAGTTTAGTTTTTAAAGCTCACATGATCCGAAAAGCCCATTCACCTGGCAACAATGACCTTTTCCATGCTCACATGCAGGTGTTGAATCCAGGTGTGATACCATCCAGGGAAGTATCACACCAAGCCCGGAACCCAACAGAACCCGCCGGAACCCTGCCAGCCCAGCACGTCTGAAGACGTCTTTGAGAGCTCTCCTAATGAAAGACACCCGCAGCTTGCTTTTCAAAATTACCTCTAGAGACTTGTTTAGGGTCCCATTCGACACACAAAATTATGACGAAATCTGTCTTTCAATTTCTTCATCTCCCCTTTACTTAACCAAACATGGACTCCTACAGGCAACCCAAGCCAACATTAATTAGGGCTTTTCCAGGCTAATGCGTCTTCCCTAAACAGTATCCTGCTCCGAGGGAAGCGCCTGGACCTAAGGCAACACTTGCTTCGCCGTGGATGACGTGAGGGAGGAAGCCTCACCTCATATGGGGAGGTGGTCTCGGCCCCGTACAGTCCCCTGGTTTTTCCTTAGTTTTGATCTGCTCCTCTCAAGCGGATATCAGGAGCCGGGTCTGTCCACACCCGAGTGCGCACACCCGAAGCTGGCACATGTGGTGGCTGAGCACAGAAGCACGTGGGGCGGGTGACCTTTCCGCCTGTGCTCCTCCAGGCACTCCCTCTGCCCTGTCTGCACATATTCCACTGGGTGCCCCCCCATGTCCTGGCCCAGAGGCTTCGGACCTGGTTCCGGAGGTACACTTGCCCCCGTGTCCACGCGCGTGACTGGCGCTGCTGCCACTGCTGCCCTCCAGGCCGCCGAAGGCCCACGCGCCCTGCACAGCCTGGGCAAGGTGCTGAGTCGGCCATCCGAGTCCGGGCTCCCACGCTCCTCAGAAACGGTGCTGTGACTCTGTCCTCACCTGAACAGGGGCAATCAGGGAACCTTCCACTGACAGCCGCTGACCACCCGCACTGGGACGTGAGCCCACGTCCATGGCGAGCGATGCTGCTCAAGGAGGCCTCACTCGACTGGCCCCTAGCAGAGAGAAGCCCTTGGGGCCGCCGCTCCTCTGCCCCCCTCTGTCATCATCTGGGGAAGGCCAGCGCCAGGGTCACACATACCCAGAGCTGTGGCCACACATGGCTGGGCCCCAGATTGCTGAGAACTCCAAAGTCCCATCCCATCCCTACTGCTCAGACCTAGTCAGCCTGTTAAAGACGTAGGAAGAGCCGATTGTTCCACGTGTGTGTGTGGGGGGGAGGTGGGCATGGTGCGATGTCGTGTCCAGTCTGTGACAGTGAGGGAGACAGGGAGAGGGTGGCGGAGACCCAGCATTGTGCATGTCCTGCTGTTCTCCTGTTTTGTGTCTGCGTCTGGTACGAGATGGGCACCTCGTGTGTCCAGGGTGTGTCGTGTATGGCCATCTGGCTTTTCGTAGGTGTGGTGTGAGATGGGTCTCTGGCTTCTGTGTATATATATTGATGAAATGGTCATCTAATTTTTCCCTCTGAATGTGAAAGAATGGGCATCTAATTCTCTGGCGTGTCGCGTGTGGTGTCCACTCTGGCGTGTCGTGTATGAAGGGCGTCCACTCCGTGTGTTTCTGTTGTGAAATGTGTGTGTGTCAAGTCAGAAACTGGGAAGGGTCTGGGAAGGGTCTCGATTTTGCTCTCCTTGCAAACTAGCAGGGGTGCCTACCGCCACCTCCTGCACAGCACACGCAGGGCACACGGGCCCTGGGCCAGAGGCAAAGAGCATGTCACTCGCAGGCACAGTGGTGCCTTGAACTGTTCCCTCCAGCTCCAGTCTCCACGGGCATGCAGATGCCATCTGCACATGCAGAAGAACGACCCTGAAATCAGGACTCCTGGGGACCACTTCGTCTTGCCCTACAGGGAGAAACCTTCCCTCTACACTGGGGTTCTTTTCTGGGGAGAGGGCAGGTCCCCCCTTCTCCTGTCTGCCCCGCGATTTCTCACACAAACACTCTGAACGTGGCTGCCGACGACCTCACTCTGAGGACCTGGACTTGCGGCAACAGAAACACAAGGTATTTGCGGAGAACTGCTTCCCGATAGAGTCTATTCTTTAAAAGTATTTTGAGATGGGTGTCTAATGATTTGTGGTCGACTTGGCACGGTGAATCTTTTAGCATGGAGTTCTGAGGTAGAAAGTAAGTATCGTGTGTGACATGTGTTTCTACTTGTGTAAAGTGCGAGGGTATCTAACTTTTTTCCTCCATATAGTTGAAATTACTACCTCATTTTTCTATTGTGTGGCATGAAATTTTGTGTATGGTATGAGATAGGTACCATATTTTTCTGTCATATATTGGAAATGGGTGTCTTTTGTGAGTGTGTACAGTGAGGAGTATCCATTTATGTGTGTGTGCTGTAAGTTGAATATCTAATATTTTGTATATTGCATGAAATAGATATCTCATTGTTTTCATATGTATGGTGGGAGAGGGTATCTAATTTTTCACTTGTGCTTTTGAGATAAATACGTTTTCTGTACGGTGTGAAATATTTATGTATACCTGTGTGTGTATTTATGTTAGTTATCTAATTTTATATTTTACCCATAGGGATAAACGTGTAGTACTTTCATTTTTTATCAGTTCTAAATGTTTTGTAGTTTCTTTGTAATTGCCTTTTTAAAATAACAGCTTTGTTGAGATACAATATTCATATCATACGATTCACCCACTTAATGTGTACAATTCAATAGATTTGAATATATTTACAAACATGTGCAAACTTCTCTATGATCAATTCTGAAATATTGCAGCACCCCCCCAAAAAAACCTTGTATCCATTGCCCAATCCCAGGTCAAAAAGATTTATGCTTCTGTTTTCTTGAGAATTTAATAGCTGGAGCTTTTATATTTAGGCCTTTGATCCATTTGAGTTAATTTTTGTATATATCGTATGGTAAGAGTCCAATCTCATTCTTCTAAATGTGAACATTCAGTTTTCCCAGCACTATTTGTTGAAAAGGCTTCTTTCTCCATTGAATTGTCTTAGCACCTTTCTTGAAAATCAGTTGATCATAAATATGAGAGTTTATTTCTGGACTTTCAACTCTAATTCATTGATCTATATGTCTGTCCGTATGCCAGTACCACACTATCTTGATTATTGTAGCTTTGTAGTAATTTCTAAAATCGGGAAATGGGAGTCCTCCAACTTTGTTCTTCTTTATCAAGATTGTCTTGGCTATTCTGGGTCCCTTGAATGTCCATATGAATGTTAAGATCAGCGTGGCAATTTCTGCAGAGAAACCAACTGGGTTTCAATACGGATTCTGTTTAATTTATTGATCAAATTTGGGAATATTATTAATATCAACAATATTGTCTGTGATCAGTGAATATGGATGTCTTTCCATTTATTTCGGTCTTCTTTAATGTAGTTTTTAGAATCAAAGTATCGCACTCTTTGGTTACAGATATTTGCAAGGTGGCTGGCTCCCTCTGTGTCCCTTCCGTTCCCATCCGCCCTACTGTAACTGACTCCGGATTCTCACTGCCTCCCCATGCTTATTCCCCACATGAAACCACATTTAGATTCCCCTATGTTGTTGTTCCCCCCCCACACAGTGTGGGCCCCACCAGGGCAGGATGTCAGGGTCACTGCTTACAGCTCCAGGGCTGCGCTTGCCCAAAGGTGGACACTCGGACGAGTTGTGAGGTCAGCCTTGCTGCCCATTGTCCGCGAGCCCCGAGGCAGGCCCCTGACTAGTGCACGGCGGGCACTAGGTGCTAGCTCCCAGCAAGGACAGCATGTAAGCACGCCGCCTGTGGCAGAGGAAACCCTCGTCCAGGAGCACAGCTCAGCGTGAGCTGCGTGCAGGGTCCGGGGTCCACAGGCCTCCAGGCGGCTGGCGCAGCG